ACGTAAACAAAAAAAATAAAAATATTAAAGAGGTTTTAAATAATGATATTATTTAACATCAATTATAAATCAAAAACTTTTGTCAGTAATTAAATTTAAATAATTCAATTATTTATTTTAATTATAATATTTATAAATAATATTTTATTTTTAAGAAAAAATCAAAAAGTCAACAAAGAGGAATTTTTATATCCTATTTTTCATTTTTATCTAGAAAGAAGAATCTTTTAAGTCTATAAAAATATAAATTAACAAATTATTACATGAACAATGTATCATTCAATCCAAATGATTTCTTTATATCAGATAATTTAATATTGTTTTGGTTAATAGTTACCCGTTTATCATTTATAACTTTGTCAAACAAAAAAGAATTTACAGCTTTCCCAAGTTCCATCATTTTTGTTTGATTCATTAAATATACATCTTTATAATATATACGAGTAATTCTTTCCATTTGATGTGATTTTTTTGATTTTCTTGATGGTTTTGATTCAAACCAGAATCCGTACTCAAGACAAAGATCGAAAAGAAAGTTTTGTGTAAATATTCTCTTGTTCTTTTCATATCTTCTCGTTGAAGTAGTTTGACTAACTCCTCCTGCAACTTCTTTCTTCATAATTAATTGACTCTGAGTATCTGCAAGTTTCGCAACTTCTATTTCTTGTTGATCTATATAAAGATTAACTAAGCGTGGCATAGTAACAGTAACTTTTGATTGTTTTCCTGGATGTTCTAATGAAAAAGAACATTTAGAATTCATTAAACAAAGTAATACTGCTTGTTGGTAACTCTCAAGATTCTTCATTTCTCTCTTTTTAAGAGTATACTTGGCTTCATCTTTTTTAAATTTTTTTCTTTCAGATCCATGAGATTGTTGACAGCTTATAGATTTTTCATCCTGAGATATACAAAAATCATTCTTTGATGATTGAATCTGAACTGAGTCCATTAACGAATTAATAAATGAGGTTAGATCTATTACTCAGGGTTTATATTATAATACCATGCCATGTAATACTTGTGCCAACCAAATACTATATATAACCAAATTATTTGTTAAGAACATTTCAAAAGAACTAGGTAGAATATTCAATGATTTATTCTTTCAATATTTTTAAATAAAAAAGAATTAGCCTCATCTTTCGAACAAGTTTTTTTTTATGGTTTTTCTATACCTTTTATTTTTTTTTTTGTTTTTTTAGGCTTTCTTTTTGCTTATTCATACCATATTTACTTTTTATTTTTAAAAATGATTTTTTTGAAACATACTAGACATGAAAGTAATGCAATTTTTCTATAAAAATAAAAATAATTTAACTTTAGATTTTTAATTTAAAGTTATTCAATTTAAAATAATATATAACCCCTAAAAATAATAGAACTTTCTTCATTTTTTTCTCACTTTAATCAATTTTGTGAACCATTTTTCTTTCCAATAAAATTCATGATATCCTTTATTCGATTATAGAAGTGTTTCTTTTTTTTTACAAAACCAAAATTATTGTCTCTCAAGATGATAAAAATCTCTATTTCCTTTAATTTTTTCCTAATTGTAGCATATTTTCTCAAAAAAAACTTATATTATTCCTCTTATTTTTTATCTTATAAATAAATAATTAATTAATTATAATGAAATAGTTATTTATTCTTCATTCTTTACTTCATTAATACCTCGGTTTGTATTTCTATTATTTTTTATGAAATTTACAACAAAAATAAAAAAATTTTATTCATAATCATTTGAATTATACTTCATTCATTAAAAAATCATTTTTATACTAGAATCTTGAAACTTTTAGTTAAATAAAAGAAGTTAATTTCGTTTAAAAAAAAACTGAAATCAAATCATTAAAAGATTAATATAATTATTCTACAATTTTTTACAGTTATAAAAATACAAATTATCTTTTTTTTCAATTACTTTCCAAAATTGATAAAGGACATATTATTTTTTTAACTATTAACTAACCTTTTGAACCTTGTACTAACTAGATCTAGTGTATGTTACTGGTCTTTCTCATTAGATAAAATTTATTTTCTTCTATTATTATATTAGTTTATAAATGATTCGAAGGTAGCACTTCAGAGACACCACACACAACACTAAAATATTTCCTTCCTTCGATTCCCCCAGTTATGGACTAGTTATGACATTGCGTTTGGTTAGAAAAACATCTTAATCAACACTACAAGAATAACAGCATTTATTAATTACAATGATGGGATATCATTGACAATAAACGAATGGGATTTATAAAGATGTTATTATTACTTAATATGATACAAATATATTTGATAATATAAAATTATCAAAGGAAAAGGGTCTTATGGTTGAGGCTAAAAAGAATATTAACCCATAGTAATACAATAGTAATTATATATTCTCCTTAAATTAAGAAAATAAAGAAGAAGAAATTTAAACCCATCAAAATCAAAAAGAAATTTAATAATGAATATTTAAATAAGGGATGTTTAAAATACTCTATTCTACATCAAAAACGAGAAAATGAAATTCTCACAGTTCACCAACTAAAATTAAAGAATAAGCCAATAGTTGAAGAACAAATACTTTTAAAGCGAAGGGACGGGATTATTTAATCTCCGCTGAGCAAGGAACAAAAGAAAATATTTCTATTAATACTTAATTATTTACTTTTTATTTATATTTGTTATAAATTGTAAATCCATATTATAAATTTTATTGTTTATAAGTAAATAACAAAATTATTTGAAATTCCTTTAATATTAAGTGAAATTCAAAAATAATATAAAATAGTATAAACCAAAACAAAACATTTTAATTTTAGAATCAAATAGGACATATCTACTTTTTAAGATGAAAATTTTTAGATGCAGGTTATACAAGAAGGTATATTGAAGGTGATTTCTATTGGATTAGAACCTGAAGACTTTTTTGAGTCAAAGTACCAAAAGATTGTATATTCTTTTGGTGGATTTTGTGATATGATTAAAAACCAAGGACTTGAATTAAATTCTAAGGCTAATGAAAGAGTCACCGGATATACTAACCTTCTTATTGTAGGTGTTTGCATTTTTTCATCAATAATATTATCATATAATAAGACACATGGAGTTTATCAATCAATGAATAAATTTTGGATGACCATTTTTAATTTGGCTTTATCTGTTGGGGCGTTTTTTGGTTTTGTTGTTCATATATTTGCTATTCCTTCAGATATTCTTGAAGGGCTTTGGTATTGCCTTTATGTCTTTTTGATTATAGCTTTGATGTTGAGATTTTTCCAAGTGTTTTGGGATTGTAGTGTAGTTACATTTATTTTAATGTTACCTGGATTAATAGTTTTTGGTTATCTTGATATTATTGCTTGTTGGTATTATGACAAATTCCTTTTCATTGGAATTTATGTTCTCTTTTTTGGACTGTTTATGGGACTAACTCATTTTATTCATATTTGTACTCGTAGTAATAAATATATTCTTTATTCTTTTAGTGATTTAATTGGACTTATATCTGTTATTGTTCAAATAACTTCTATTAGATATGGAAGTTGGGATAAAAATGGGTTTTTCCATCTTGGAGTTTCCGTTTACGTATTAATGAATACAATTTCATTTATTGTAATCTCTTTATCATCTTCAAAAGAAAGAAAAGTGAAATTAGATTGAAGAGTTAATGGTTGATTCAATTATTTTATACAGTTTTTTTAGTTATTAAATATTATTTTGATAATTGGTATTAGTATTTAGTTAAAGAAAAAAAACATTAACAAGACAAACTAATTAATTTTCTCAGTATAAATCAATAAACAATTTTTGAGGTTCAAAACAAATCTTGTTTCTCTTATTTTTTTTAAGATAATAGTTTCAGATGCAAAAAATCGGTGAAGGTATCTTAACTGTGCTTAAAATTTCTATTAACCCTTTTAAGTTTATTGCAACAAAGTGGAAAAAAATTCATTTTGCATTTAAAGGGTTTTTTGATCTAATTGAAAATCATCAAATTGAATTAAACTATAGTCCAAATGAACGAGTAACTGGATTTACTAATCTCCTTATTGCATGTTTTTGTATTCTTTCATTCATAGTACTAATATTTGCAAAAACACGTGGTTCACATAATTTAATTAACAAAATATGGATGATGTGTTTTGATATAACACTTTCTATTGGAGCAACATTAGGATTTATTATTCATGGATTAAAAATACCAGGTGGAATTATTGGGGGACTTTGGTATTGTCTTTATGTTTTTTTATTGATAGCTTTAATGTTTAGATTTTTTCAAGCATTTTGGGATTGTAATAAAAAGACATGTCTTTGGATGACACCATTTTTAATTATTTTAGCTTATATTCATCTTATTGCTTGTTGGAAATATAATACATTCCTTTATATTGGATCATATGCTATTCTCTTTGGTTTTATTATGGGAATTACTCAACTTGTTTTTATATTTACTCGTAATTCAGGATATGTTCTTCATCTTATTGCTGATTTTGTAGCACTTGGAGCTTTTATATTTGAAGCAACTAATTTTCGATTTGAAGATTGGGACCAAAATGGGTTTTTCCATTTAGGAATTTGTCTTTATGTGTTAATGAGTACATTTGCATTTGTTGCTTCACTTCCACCAATTGTTGATCCTAAAGAAAGAGAATTAGAACTTAAAGAAATTAAAGGAATAGAAGATTCATTTGAATATCAAAAACTTCCAGAAAGTTTTGATTCAGTTAATTAATTTTATTTTCAATTCTTTTTGAAGGAATAGTAAATACACAACTTATCTTTTAGTTTGGTCCAAATTTAATAAATATTGGGTGCCATTCTATTAAAATGAAATCATAAAATATCAATTAATAAACTTTCATTCTTCCACTAATAACAATGTAATCCACGTCTTTCCAAATGGCAATGACTGGTATCTTTTTAACAAATCAAATCACAAAAAATCAACTTCGATGAACTACTTGAACCCTTTCAATCTTTAAATTTGTTCAATTTCAAACCAATTAATAATGCAAGCCACTGGAAAACCACACTCAAAAACTACTAAATCTAAAAAGTCAGGTTCAAAAGCTAATAAAAAACCAACAACTTCAAGTGTTAAACCAACTACACCAACTACACCAGTTGACCCATCAGTAATTCCACCTGAAATTAAAGAACCAACTGAAACTTTATCTACTATGTATAAAGATGAAAAGTGCTTCCCAGAAGGAGAAAATATGCAATATACACAAGAATGGAATTTACAAAGATTCACAAGTGCTGAAGCCAGAGAACGTGAAAGAGCATTAATTGATATTGAAGATTATAGAAAAGCTGCAGCAATTCATAAAAGTGTTAGACAATGGGCTCAACAATGGATTAAACCAGGAATGTCAGATCTTTTTGTTGCAGAAAATATTGAGAGAAAAGTTAGAGAAGAATGTGAAGTTGATGGAGTAAATACTACAGAACGAGGTATGGCTTTTCCTTGTGGCCTTTCTGTAAATTCATGTGCAGCACATTTCACACCAAATCCAAACGATCCATTATCATTCTATAAAACTGATGATGTTGTTAAAATTGACTTTGGGGTACATGTTAATGGACATTTAATTGATTCAGCTTTCACTATGACTTGGGACCCTACTTTACAACCAATTCTTGATTGTGCTAAAGACGCTACTAATACAGGTATTAAAAATATTGGTGTTGATGTTAGATTATGTGATATAGGTGATGCTATTGAAGAAGTTATGAACAGTTATGAAGTTGAAATTAAAGGAAAAACTTATCAATTACAACCAGTAAGAAATCTTTCTGGACATATGGTTGGTTCATATGCAGTTCATGCTGGTAAGTCTATTCCAATTTGTAAAGGTGGACCTCAAACTAAAATGGAAGAAGGTGAGGTTTATGCTCTTGAAACATTTGCTACTACTGGAAGAGGGCGTGTTGATGATTCAGGACCTGCTTCTCATTATATGGTTGATGCTAATGCATTTGATTATCCAGTTAGAGATGGAAATGCAAAGAGATTACTTCGTGCACTTGATGCTAATTTCAAGACATTAGCTTTTTGTAGAAGATATGTTGATAAAATTGGATTTGCTAAATGGCAAATGCCATTTAAATTCCTTGTTGATGATGGATGTGTTAATCCATATCCACCATTATCAGATTGTCATGGAAGTTATGTTGCACAATTTGAACATACCATTTATCTTAAGCCAACTTGTAAAGAAGTTCTTTCAAGAAGTTTTGATTATTAAATTCATTCTGGCTTGTTATATTTGATATTCTTTCTTTTTTGAATTTAAAATATATATTATTTTCATTATAACGATCTTTTGTTGATTTGTGAATATAAAGAAATATAGTTTTATTATGATTAATTTATTATATAGAATATAACTAAAATAAAAAAAATAGGTTTATAGAAAAAGAACTATTAGAAAGTTAAAAAGAAAAGAAATAAAAAAACCTAGTATTTCTTATAAACCCCAGATCTAATCAAATCAGTTGTCAACGTCCATGGCTAGCACCAAAAAGATTGAACTTTATATCCCAAGACACTGGTTTGTTTATACTTATAATCTTATTTATTAAAGTAAAGTAGTAAGAGTATTAACTTTGTAGTTCTGTTACTCATACTTTGATCGCTGCCGATGATCATGCTGCTGTTCAAATTTTAATCCCACACGTTAATGAAAATGGTGTTATTTTACCAGAATCAACTGTTTACACTGTTAAAGGAAGTGTCAGAAAGGATGGAATTTCTGATCATTCACTCAATAGACAATTCCAAAAGGACGGATTTCTTAAGACCGTTGTTCCAAAGAACATGATGATCTAATTGACGTTGTCTGATTTTTTTATGACTTGATTACTTTTTCTCTTTTTTGTTATTTTTTTTTTGTTTTTAAAACATAAATTTAAAATGTTATTAATAATTTTTATTTTGTTATTTTATTTTTGTTTATTTAAAATTTGTTATTTAATTTGTATCAAGGAATTTACTCTGGTTAGTTTTATATTTCTCAAAAAAATTGGATGGATAAGACAAATAGTTTTTGAATTAATTTAATGTAAAAGAAAAATATTTTTGAGAAATTTTATCATTGTAATTTTATCATTGGCATTTTTTTAAATAAATATTTTTATTCTGTAGATCTTGAATGCAACTGGAAAAGTCAAAAAAAAAATAATAAAAGTAAAATACGAAATTATAAATGGAAGAAAAATCCATAGAAAAATCGTTACCATTTGAAAATAGGAATTAAATTTTTTTTAAAATTATTTTTATGGCTACCACATCATCATACTTTTTAGAAAAAAATATTTTTCTTTATCATAAATATGTTTATAAAGCATTTACTTTTTTTATTTTCTTTCAATGGTTTAACGAAGTCATTCTTTTTTAAAAAAAAACTAACTTACTAGATTAAATAAAATAAATCTAATTTCAAGAAAAGGAAATGATAAAAAAGAAAAATACAAAGAATCTTATAGAAGCTTTCAATAAAGGAGTCATACTAAAAATATCACATCTCAGAATTAATTTTTTTAAAGATGGAACTATAAATTCACTTATCAAAAAAATCACTCTCTATTTCATCAAATGAACCCATCATGTCAATTTTTTGTTCCTATAGTAGTTCGTCCATCTGCCAATTATTCGTTTTCGTTTGTTGTTTGGTTAATAAAAAGAAATAGAATAAAAGTATTTATTTTTTTTAGAGCTTCTACTGGTAATTCTCCTTCTGAACATCTTATCGATGAAGAAAATCTTCCAGTTCCTCCTCGTTCAGCACAGCCAGTGCCATTTGAGTCAGTTAATTCATGTTATTGTAATGAATGTATATTTGAAAGTAATGAAAGTGAAGAAGAGTGTCTTGATGATAGTTTATTTGATTCAGTTTTTTAATAATTAATTATTGTATAATTGACTTGTTGATTGCATTTTAAGGAAATTTTTTTCTAAAAATATATTTTTTAAAGTCCACTTCGGTTGTATCGCATTTTTTTATTAATGTCATAGTTTCATATTATACATTTTTAGTTTTGAATAAGAAACTATTAACATAAAGAAAAAATAAATAAATTTTAACTTATCGTATTTCTTATTTCTTATCGATTGCAATTAAATAAAAAAAATTAGTCTAAAGATGATATTTATTTTTATTTATGTTTTCACTGTTTTGAGAAGTTACAATATTATAACTATTGTTAGTTTCTTCATCACTCTCTGTATCACCAGAGTCTTTAATTAATGTGTTAGGTTGTGAGTGTACATCCTTGAAACTACTACTACTATGTAAGTAATACCTATTACCTTTCACTTGTCTGATTTGCAATGTCCTTATTATTCTTCTCTATAATTTTCTATCTTATTTATTGTGATTAAGTGAATAAAAATAAATATAAATTATCACTTTTAGAAAGAATGGTTAATAAAAATAAATATCTGTCAAAAAATAAATAAGTTGTGATAAAAAGTATTTAAGAACTCTTCTAGTGAGTGTGGCTATGTGTACTATAATTCTATTCATATGTTCAATATATAAATTATAAGAAATTAATAAAAATATTAAATAAAAATAAACATAACAAGATTTAGTCAATACCAAACCGTTATGTGACTAGGATAAAACAAAAACAAGTAAGATAAATGAGAACATTATGATTTTAATTATCATATTACCATTTCAAAATATACTACTTATAAAATAATTATTTAAATTAAATAGAAACTAAAATAAACTAATCAAAAGTTCTGTATTTGTTATATAAATATTTCATTCAAACTCTTTTTTCATTATTTGTCTTTCTCTTTCACTAACAGTATTTCAAAATTAGTTGTGTTATTACTTGTCTCTGTTAGGGGTTGTAAAAATGAATATAGTTATCGTAATAATAGGATAATCAATAAACTGAAATAAAATTTGAATTACAGTAAAATGGGGATTTTATTAAAGGGTATGAGTACAAATGAAATAATAAAAAAAGGTCAAGACAATAAAACAACAACATTAGTACGTTTAAAGAAAATTAAATAAAGGAATAGACTACTTAGTTTTGTAATGCACTATATTAATTTTAGTTGAACACTACAAAAATATATTTAATATTATTTCATAAATTATTATTGATAAAAGTGAATAAGTGATATTCTTTTTTTAATTTAAGTAATAGAAGTTAATTTCTTGACTTCAATACTACATTACAATTCTTTATTAAAACTTTAAATTTATAATTGTTTTGTATCATCAATATGAATTATCTATATTGTTAGTTAAATCGATCTACTTTAACAGAAACCGTCTTGTCAGCTAGGGCTATGTTCTTACATTATTTTATTGATTAAAACTTACAAAGTATTGCTTAAGATAGTCCATACAATTTTTAAGATGTTGGTTGTAAAATATTAATATTAACTAACCAACTAATAGTTCTTCTATTTTATGCGTATGTTCCTAACTGTTTTTCAATAATTATGCACTACAATTTATAATTTTACTACTTAAAATCTTCCTCTGTGGGTTATGTCACTAAATTTCTCTAGGCACTGTAACAACAGTCAACGTGAAATTTATTATCCAAAGAAACAAATAAACATTATTTTGTTATAACAAATTATTATTAAGCGTTTTATCATCAAAATAGCTCCTATACAGTTTTTATTAGTCATCACTCTCAAAAGATAAAGCATTCTAAATTATGAGAATAAACAAATGTGGTTGTTGGTTGAATTATTTATGTAGTTTGTTCACACAATAATAAAGGGTCATAACATTTTATATTCAAAAGGTTTTATTATTTAAAATAAGTTTTAGCTTAATAAGTCAGGAATCTTGATACTCTTATACATAGACAAAGTACTAAATATAGTTTGATACTAACCAACATTGTTAAGAACTTGGTATTGATATCACAGTAGTTGAATGTGTATAACATCATAATTTGTTGGCTCATATTTTTCATTGAGAAGTGATTAATGTCTTGAGTTTATTTTTATTGGGTTTAATAGAAAAATCACTTTTATTCTTATTTCTTTTTATTATTTAATAAAATAACGCAATGAATATGAATATTTCAAATAAAATAAAACAAGAATGAAATATGACCATTTTTTATATTCACCATTTCATTTATTGATAGATGAAATGTTCATATTCATTTATTGATTTTATTTTATATTCTTTTTTAGTTTTTATATTTCAAATAAATAATAATGAATAAAAATTATTTCATTTCAATTACAATAATTCGTTCTGGTGTGAAATATTCTGGATATTGTTTTCCACAAAGTGCATTTGTTATTCCTTTATATGAAAATGATTGTTGATTACAATATGATTTTGTTTTATCATTTTCTTTATAAACAATAATATCGCCATATCCAAATCCAAACAACCAATCATATAATTGATCATTTAAATAAAATGCATGTTGTGAATCTTTAATAATATCAAATTTCGTCATTTCTTTTATTCTTCCTTTTGATTTTAATGAAAATAAAAATGAATTTGGATCATTTATATAATCTTCAACTTCATCAATTTTCACATTAACATATCCTCCAAATTTATTTCCATCTGTATCTTCAATAATAATTATTATATGTTCTTTATTTATTATTCTTTGATCAAATACTGATGTGTTCATATTCCAATCATCAATTTCTAAATCAAATAATATATTGGATACTTTTCTATTTGTCCATTCTTCTATTTGTTTCATTTCTTCAATTGTATTCATTCCTTTCATTACTCTTAATCTTTCTTCTTTTATCATTCTCTCTTTTTCTTCTTTTCTTCCTCTCTAAATAATCACTATAATATGTTTTCCATTCTTCTTTCTTTTTGTTAAATGATTCTGTGATTTTATCTTTTTCTTCTGGTGTTCTGAATATTTTTTTTTTCATGACCTTTTCTTCTTTCGAAATGATTGTATTGATTATTTCATTTCGTGTTTTACTTAGTATTTCTTCATCTGAATTACATTCTTCTATTATTTTGTTCATTTGATTCTTTATTATTTCTATTGTTTTATTTGTTTCTTGACTTTTTTCTATTACTTTTTTTCTTCTTCTTTCTGTTTCATCAATCCTATCAATTATTCCTTCTCCTCTTTTAATAGCTTCTAAATATGTTTCATTGTATTTCAAATATTTCATTTTTAATACTTCCTAAATAATATTGATAATGTTTATTAATATCACCAATTGATTGTTGAATATTTGGAAGTGTTTCTATTTCTTCTTTAAAGAAACGAGTGTTCTTATTTATTAACTCATCCATTTTAATTTAATAAATATCAGATTAAAATCAGATAATTAAATACTTAAATACATATTTATAACATTATTTTATTTATTATTTTATCATTTTAATAAATGTCATTTCATTTTTTATTATTTTAAATAACAATAATATATAATAAAATTAATAATAAAATAATAATATTTAATATTATTGTTATTTATCTATAATTAGTTCATTTTTATGATGTTGTCTTTTTATCATCACTATATGAAACAATAGTCTAATAAAGACATCACTGTAATATGGAATAAACAAATACGCGAAAGTTGGTTGAAGATATCATAAATAATATATATGTAACAGATCAAGAAAATAAACTATTTTATTAATTGATATGACTATTGTTACAAATTACAATATTAATAGAACATATTTGAAGAAAAGAAATATGTATAAAGAATTAAAAAAAAATAAGCTAATGAAAATAAAGAAAGTAAGAGATATTAAAATAAATCAAGTAGTAATATCTACAAATTAATTAATAAATTCAAAGGGCATTAAATTACTAAAAGAATTAAAGATTGAAATAGACATGATAAAAGCAGTTAAAAAACTTGTAGTCAAAAACATGAAAGATATCTTGGAACATTGTTTCCACAATAACATAAACCGTAGAGATACTAGATAGTGACTGTTATTTGATTAGTCTCTGGTTAGTCAAGAACATAGAAACGAATTCTATAAATACTAATGAACTGCTTTATATTTAATTTGTGTTTAAAATTAAAAAAATATTGAAATCAGTCAAAAACATAATATTTTCAAAAACAAAAATTCAAAGAAGAAAGAAAAAGTAGATATATAATTTCTTATTGAATAAAAACAAAAAAGAAGAATAGAAAGAAGATGAAAAAGGGAAGAAAATTAACCAAGTTAGACAAGGTGATTACAAAAGTCTTTTAGCGAAACGTCTTTCAACTTTGCAATGTCTAATAACAGAATTTCTTGCTCTTGGATTCAAACCAGAAAGGACTTTAGTTAATAAACTTTTTGTTGAACTGATTTTTGAATCAACACGAACAATTTTTTTTCTTAATTCCTGGACTACTTTTTTTAATTGAGCTTTTGCCTTTGTACATCCAGCATTGAACATATCTTCATAAGTAGCATCAAGAGCATCTAAAAGTCTTCTTCTAATATCTTCTAAATTCTCAATACGGGAATCAATCATTGAAACTTTTTGCTCAGCGATTTCCTTTTCAACAGCAGAAACTCCAAAATATGGATATGCATTAATGCATATGATAAGTGCAAAAATGAATACAGCCTTCATTACTAAAATAATACAATTATAGTTTCTTTTTTTTTTAGTTCAGCTGATTTTTCATATTTTTTTATTTTTTTTTTATTTTTTCTTTTTTTATTTGGTGCTTTTTGGACAAATCTTGTTTATCTATTTTTAAATATTTTATAGTTCTTCTAATTTCCCATATTTTTTATATAAACAAAACGTAATAAAGATTAAATTAAAATTTTGAAGAAGCTAAATAACTAGTCATGTTTTTTTATTGATTTTTGAAAATAATTGAAAAAGATTTACAAATTAAATAACATTATAAATAATAATTAAATAACAAAATAATTCTTTTATCGATAAAACAAAAAATAATTTCACACTCGAAGACAATTGAATTATTGTGAATTCTTAGCATCTCTTAATCTTCTAACTGTGGATCTAACAGTAGCACCAGAAATGGTAGAGAGTGTGTAAGCTCCACCAGCAATTTGTTTTCCACATCCTTTGCACTCCCAAATTCCACAAGCAGTTCTTCTTACAGCCTCCTTACAGCAGAATGGGCAAACATATTTAGAGTGTTGGGCAATTTCGATTTTCTTGATGACTTTACGAAGAGAAGCACCATATCTAGTTCCATATTTTCCGACAATTCCTACCTTCTTTGTTCTACGAGCCTAATTAACAATTATTATTTTATTCTTTTTAACTTTAATCAAACTTATGTTACTTAAACAAACCATCGATGTGTGTGCAAGAGTTTTTAGTTCAAGGGTTTCTTTTTTCCCTTTTGATTAGTTACTATTTTTTTAATTATAAAATTACTATTTATTATTATTTTCATTTTTCATTGAATTATATTTTTGTTGTTTAGTAAATCACTTAGTTTTTATTTATTTCTCTCATTTTCTCTTTAATTTAAATGATTTGAATATAAAAATTTTGATATTAAATTTTTCATATCAGCCCTTTTTACACAATAACAATCATAAAAACTTGAAATAAGAACGACTAACAAATTAATTTATAGTATTAATAAAGTTAATTGCTAATTTGTGTTAGTCACTTTGTAAACATATAACTTAATGCAAAGAATAATTTTTTGAAAGAAGGAATGAATCTTGTTAATAGTTTTAATAACTTAGTGTTATAAAAAAAATGTGTTATTGAATTTTGTTTTTACTTTTAAATAAGGATTATTCATCAAATTATCTTAATACTTTCTTTTTTTTTTTATAAAAAGGAAAATAAAAAACAAGTTCAACTGATATCTGTTTCTGTTAAACATGGTTAAAGTGACAGATATTTAGCGTTTTATTAAATAAATTGAATAAGAAAAATTATCAGTTGAAAATAAACACAACAAAGTATTAACAAACTTGTTTGTTTACTACCTTTCATAATTAAGGTTTTGTAGTTGTTTGTTGTGCCAAACAACTAAATATTTAAAATATTTTATTTTTAAACGATATAACAAAAGAATGTACTTAAAGAATGAAAAAATTATATCTTTTTTAGAAGCGTCATTTTAATATCGAATGTAATTTATTTAATTATGAGAAACTTATACAATTTTTTGGGAGGAAAATGGTTAGTCAAACACTGTGTCCTATAACTTTCTAATTTAATTACACTACTCCCCTCAAGGTTTATTGTTTTTGATAAAATCATACATTTAATCAGTTTAAACATTATTGTACTTTCCATTAATGAATTTTTAAATAAAAATGTTTCAAAGAGAATTTTAATAGAAACTTATTATGTTAAGTTAGATGGACAAGAAAAAGAATAAGAAGAATTAAAGAAAATGTAGAATGAAAAGAAGAAATGAGTAGAATTGGATAATTAAATAATTGAAAAATTGAGAAAAATAGTTTATAAACAGAAAAAGAAAAAGATAAAAGAGAAAAAAAGATTTTTCAGAAAGAAAAGAGACAAATAAAGAAAAGTTTAAGAACTTAAAAAGATAAAAATAATAAGAAAAAGAATAGTTAAAAAAGTTAAAGAAAATAATTAAAAGGTGAATAAATCAGAGTTAATCCAGAAATTTCATTGAAAGGTTGGGTTGTATGTGATGGAGAAGAAGGTTTTTAAAAAAGAAAATAAAATAAGCCCACTTTCCATTTTTGGAGAGCAAGAAGGTGTTATATTAGAATCAGAAATAAAAAAGTATCGTGTCTTAAAGATAGTTGGATGGGGAACATTTGGGATTGTTGTTGGTGTGATAGATGAAGAACAACATATATTTGCTATTAAACGGGTATTAGAAGACCCAAGACTAAAAGTTTGTTTTTATAAATTATCTTTGAGTTTATGACAATAAAATATGAAATGAATAAATAAAGATATTAATGGATATAGAATAGGGAATTAAAAATTATGAAAGAGTTAAAACACCCTAATATAGTAGAATTATTAGACTATTTTTATACAACATTATCTAATGTTTGTTTTTCTTAAGTTATTATTATATAAGTGTTCTATTCTTAATTGAGAAAGAAGTAATGTTTTTGCTGTTAATAACCTCTAACAATTAAATGAATGAGAATTTTTTATTTAACATAACGAATTAAATGCTAACACTTTGCAGTATAATGAACCATGTTTAAATTTAGTTACTGAATGCTATCCTGAAAATCTTCACCAAATGTTACATGATTATGCAGTGGAACAATTACCAATTCCATTAAGACATGCACGGTTATTCACATATCAACTATGTAGAGGATTAAGTTATATACACTCAAAGGGAATATGTCATCGAGACTTAAAGCCACAAAATATCTTAGTTAATAGACAAAACTTAGAATTAAAAATATGTGACTTTGGAGCGGCTAAAATCCTTGAAGCAAACCAACCAAATACTGCATATATCTGTACAAGATATTATAGAGCACCAGAACTAATATTTGGGTGTGTTGATTATACTACTTCAATTGATATATGGAGTGTTGGATGTATTGTTGCAGAGTTATTAACTGGTCAAATACTTTTTCGAGGAATGACGACTTCAGATCAATTAGGGAAAATTATCGCCATTATTGGTTCTCCTTCAGTTGAACAAGTCTTGGCTATGAACCCAAATTCTCCATATACTAAAATTCCTCGTATTAATGGAAAGGGAATGGATGAAGTATTAATGTATACTGATTCTCCTGATAATGCATATGAATTATTAGAAAGTATTCTTCAGTTTGATCCATCAAAAAGACCAAGTGCTATGGAAATTATGTTACATGACTTCTGTAAAGATATGTTTAGAGAATTAATGAAACGAGATGGAATTGGAGAATGGACTAATTATAATGTGGATGAATGGTCAATAGCTGATGAAAGAAACATGGTAGATAGAATGAAAGAATTCTGTATGTTAGAGAAGAGGAGAAAAGAGAGATATTCAAAAAAATGATGTGTTTTTAAATATATCTTGATTGGATCTGTGTCTTGTCATTTTTAATTTAGTTTAAATTTAATTTTTTTAAATTAAATAAACAATGAAGAAAAATGAAAAAGGAATATTTTTAATTATTTAAAAAAAAAGTAGTTTATTTGTTTAATTTGAAACTTAAAAATTATTTCATAATTGAACTCATAACTTAAGTTTATGGAGAGTGAAATTCAATTAGCACATTTTAGAAAAATACATTATATTGTTATGACTATATTCTTAATTTTATTCTTTTTATTTACAATAATATTAGGAATATTTGGACCTTCAGAATATTCTTTAAAAACACAAAGTGGTTTTAAATCAGTAGAAGGAGATGGGTTTCAATTTACATTACCTGAATTAAATAAGAATGAATTAGAATTAAAGGTAATGTATCAACAAAAGATAAGTATTAATAATAATTATAACATGACAGTATATGAAAAAAAGTCACAAGCTATTGAAGTAAATTTTATTGATAAAGATGATAAAATTAATGAAACTAAAATATTTAATTTTACATGTACATATAGAAAAGATATTATTTGTGGTAGAGTAGAAATTATTGAACAAAAAGTATATAGAAAAGGAAAAGGTATAATTTCATTAAAATTAATTGACAATGAACAACAAGATGATATTAAAGTTTTAGGGAATCTTAATATATTTACTTCAACAGATAGATATACACAAATTAATATATTATATTCATTAATTGTATTTAGTATATCTGTAATTATTTTTATTGTCTATGTTATTATAGAATTAAGATATTTACAAAAGAAAGGAAGATTTAATGGATTACAATTAATGAATGGGTTATTAGTATTTGCTGTTATTGGTCATACATTTCCATGGAATGCTGTTGCTTATTCAATTCAATGGATTGGAGTTTTTGCATTAAGTAAAGCATCTTATTCAGTATTTAATATTGTATTTATTTGTTATTTATTCTTTATGCTTGATTCATTTATGAAAGTTTGTTTTTATATATTTAATATACATGAATAATAAAATTAAAAAAAATATTAAATTCATTTAATTAGCAAAATGGAACTTCATCAAAAAAAGTAGTTTGGATAACACGAGTATTACTATTATCTATTTTTGTTGTTTGTAGATTAATAAATACAACCCTTCACGCCGTATGCTCAGTTCAAAATGTATTAATTCCAAAAAATACTCTTCATGATGCTTCAATGTTTTTTGATGTTATTGAAGGGTTATTATATTTCTTCCTTTATTCATGGGCATTATATCATCTCGCTATGACATATAATAAAGTAACCATTCCTGTTATTCAAAAACAGTTAAATTATTTTGCTGCATGTACTGCTTTATTTTTATTAGTACTTATTTTCTTATTATTCTTTTCAGGTATTATTTCTGAAGAAACAACTTTTGCTACATACTTTGAAAATGGAAGTATGGTTGTTTATTTAATATCAATGTTATGTGCTTTTTTACCTTCATTATCTCCGGTAAAAAATGAATGGTCAATATTTTATAATGAAATGGATGACGACCAACCATTATATGATGAAGAAGACTAAATAACTTTATATAAATTCAAATCTATTGTCGGTTTATTTTCTCATTAAAATAAACAATAAAACAAATAAAATATTTTTCAATCGATTGATTTACAAAAGAAGATAAATGGAGTAACCCTTTTTTGTTTAAGAACTAAATTTTCAAATAAAAAAAATAAAATAATAAAATTAATTATTATTTTTAGTTTCTAATATAATGAAAAGGAGTTAAGAAAGAATTAAAAAAGAATTGTTAATTTAACTGGTTATTGTTTTAGTTAATGTCTCTTCCTAATCACCGCGAAGTATCTACAGAATTTATTAATGAAATTGTGTATTATGCTTGTGTTGGGGGACATATAAATGAAATGAGTCCATCTATTTTATTATTTAATTTCGGAGATAGAACAGTTACTATCTATCCAGAATCTTCTTTCTATACACCAGATGGACCAACTTCAGAAGAGTTTTTGTTTTCTTCTTTTGATTGTGCATCAACTGTTCATAGTCAAGATATAACAATTATTAAAATTGAATTTTATACAACAAAAAATTTATTTATTCGAACAAATAATGTGAGTGATCATAATGCGTTATTTACAATATTTAGAACTATCACAAGAAATATTAGAACTTTATTCAGAAAAGATTTTTTAGCTTTAGATTGGCAAGAAAAAATTAAAACTTTTGATTGTACTTTCAGAGGTAAAACTGATCCTTTAGAATTCACTATTTATAATGGAACTATAACAATTTCTTATAAAAAATTAAAAATTCCTTGTATTGTTATTCCAATGGATTCTACAGTTACTATTTCTCGTAGAAATTCTTTACATATAACTTCTACTTTAAGAAAAGTATTTCTTTCACTTTCTTTAGATGATTTAAATGAATCAATTTCATTATTAGCAAATTGTAGACACAGAATTGTTCCACCTCCTAAAGTTATTACAGATCCACGAGCTGGTAGATTATCAGAGTTAGTAAGTTATGCACAACAATTAGTAGATGAAGATGAATTATATCCAGAAGAATGTCTTGAACATTTTGATGAACTTTGTGAAGTTTTAAAATACATTGGAAAAAAGAAATATGCAACAAAACAACAAAAAATAGATTATATGAATGAAAAATTAATAAAAAAAGAAAAGGACGAAACAACTCCAGAATTTAAAGAAGATGATTTAATGCAATATGTTTCTCAAACTAATCCATTCTTAGAAGTAAGAAGACTTGAGTCAATTGGTAAAGGTGGATTTGGTGAAGTTTTTAGAGCACAACGAAAATCAGATGGTAGTATTCTTGCATTAAAAGTATTAAAACATACAATAAAAGAAAGGTATTCAAAATTAGGACAAGAAATTGCACGAATGGCATTATGGAAACATGAATTTTTAATAAAAATTGATAAATGTTATTTATTTGAAAATAGGGTTTATATTACAATGCCATATTGTAATTGTGGAAGTGTTAAACAAGTAGTTAAAGATAAAAGTCATGTATTTACATTATGTGATGTTTCGTATGTTATTCAGTGTTTATTAATGGCGCTTGAATATATTCATTCTCAAGGGTTTATTCATAGAGATATTAAACCTGCAAATATATTAATGATGGATGATGGAGGAGTGAAATTAATTGATTTTGGATTAGTTGTACGAAAATCATTAAAGCCTCATACTCGTTCTGGTTCAAAACAATATATGGCACCTGAAGTTGTATTACAAAAAATTTATGATGAAAAAGCAGATATTTGGAGTGTGGGGTGTGTTGCTCAAGAATTAGCTGAAGGTAAAAGTCCTTATAGAGAAGACGGTATTGTTAAATTATTATTTAGAACTGTTACTAATGGAGCTATGGGTTTAAGAAGAATTAAATATTGGGATAATATATTTGTAGACTTTGTAGAACAATGTTTTATTTATAACCCAGAAAAGAGGTGTTCTGCAACTCAACTTTTGAAGCATCCATTTATTGAGTGGGCACCAACAAGTTATTTCTACAAAAAATATCATCATATTGAAAGTAATTAAACTTAATAATGTTTTATATTTATTTTCAAAATTTTTAATTTATTCTTTTTTAGAATTAAAAGAAAAAGAATAATTAAAAACAATAAATATTACACTAAAATGAAAATAAAAGAGAAATGACAATCATAACAGTAATCAATTTAGATAGGTCCATTTCCAAATACATCATCATTAAATGAATTCATTGGAATATTTGGATCATTAATATCAATAGATTCTTGTTGAATAGTTCTTGGATCAATTTCAGCTGGTTTCAACATTCTTGGATCAGCAACAAAAACAAGATTTGGATTTCCAGTAAGTTTTCTAGCAATCCATAAAAATGGTCTTTCGAAATTATAATTTGATTTAGCTGAAACATCATAATATTGTAAATTCTTCTTTCTATGGAATGTAATTTGTCTTTGTTTAACTTTTCTATCTTTTACATCGCATTTATTACCAACAAGAACAATTGGAATACCTTCACACACACGAACAAGATCTTTATACCATGTTGCAACATTTTTATAAGTGTCTCTTGATGTAACATCAAACATAATAATTGCACAATGTGCTTGAACATAATATCCATCTTTTAATCCTCCAAATTTTTCTTGTCCAGCAGTATCCCAAACTTCAAATCTAATTGGTCCACAATTTGTATTAAAAAGCATTGGATGAACATCTACACCAATGGTTGGAATATATTTCTTTTCAAATTCTCCTGAAAGATGTCTTTTAACAAATGTAGTTTTTCCTGTTCCTCCATCACCTACAATAACAAGTTTAAATGTTGGAATACCGTCTGGTTGTTGCATTATGTTTTAAAAGTTCTACACATCCCCTTTAAATATAATAAAACAACCCTCAGGGTTCACTTCTATTTTCTTTTTTACTTTTTCATTGACTTTATAGTTTTTCTTTAATTATTTTTTACTTCTTTTTGTTTCTTAATATTTCACAAAAAAATTCATATCTTTTTGTTTTTTTAAAATCATTACAAAATCTTATAATTCTTTTTAATGAACATATTAATTAGATTTATCTTATTGTTTGAA